ATGGCTAACAGAAGCCTGTTCTGCTGTACCGTGCCTACTCTCCCCCATTGCTGCAGCCACAAAGCTCTTTATGAGATAAATCCTGCCCGGGAGTTCAGGTAAGTTTTTGATGACATGCATGGGAGTGCTGGCTTATGCATGCTGGTGGGGGTGAATGTCTGCATGCTAGGTATAGGAACTGTGCTGTGCTGGGCAGAGCATGTTAACATTGTGCGAAGCCATAGGCACTGGAAAAAACTAAACCTTCCATTTAAAATTATTTTTAAAAGACAGTTCCCAGCCTTTGCCTTCTCTCCAAACTCTGCAAAGTGCTAGTTTTGGTAGATAAAAGTGAAGAGCACAATGGAAACTCTAGTGGTTCATACAGGAGGTTTGAAAAGAGTGCAATCTCCTTTTTGTGTCAAATCCCGGACACTTTTTTTCCTCTTACTTGGCTTCTTGCCTGTGTTAAATTGCTGAATTTTGCTTCATTAAAATAATTGCTGATTGCATTTTACACTTTAGTTTAGTAGCTGCTCAGCGCAGGCTCAGCCATTAAAGATGCTAACCGTCTCCTGTGACCTACAGGTTAATCTTTATTTCACTGAGCCTCAGTGAGTCCTGATGGTCCACAAATGCTGAGGTGCAGTCCTCTGCCTGACATGTATCCAAGCAGTAGGATGGGCCACATACTTGGACTCAGATTCTGAGGGACAATTTCACTAGGTTTATTAAGAATTACCTGATGTTTTCTTTAGATTATTCCAATTCAGATTTTATACTGCCTTTAAAAACTGAGGCTCCTGTCATGCTGGTGTTCAGGAGCAAAAAAATATCATTGATTCAGCTGCATAGAGAAAACTGGAAATTACCTTGCTTGTAAGCTGTGTAACAGCTCAGCTGCTTGCAGGACATGAGAGAAAAGAAAGCCTTCCTGCATCCAAGATGACACACAACATATGCTGTACAATATATGCCCTCCTTCTTGTGCTATGCTGTTTGAGCGACAACAGCCTGGGCTTTTAATTGTCGTAACCCTAATTAGTAGTGGCAAATATTTTGGAACTGGAGGACTGGGGATTTCTTTATAAGCTTTAGACCCCATGTAAAAAGTTTACTCCTTACATCCACTCTAATCTTTCCTTAAGTTATTCAGCATATACATCTGACAGAGTAAAAGCACTGAAGTGTGCTGAGCTTGAGATCATTTGCTTTCCAAATCCCCTGCCAGCACAGCTTAGATGAAAATTCTCCTGGAAACAAGGCAGTTGTTGACATTTTTTTTTCAGTGGGGAAGGAAGAGGTAGAAATATGGGGGCAGCCACTGGTTTCATGCTAAACTAAGACACATGGAAGGAAAAAGTAATTTATTTTGGTTGAACCTTTTTAAAGAAACCAGGGGTTCTTTGTGCCATACTTTCATATAGTAATAATCTGAAACATTCTTGTTCTGTCAGAGATGTCCCCAAGGGAATTCCATGCTGGATCTGAACTTTTTTTGCCTGTATTTCACCTAACTATGAGCTATTTTAGACATCTCCAGCTTCTCAGAGTAGCCTTTCACCTGACTGACTCAGGCACTGACACCATGCCAGCCTCAGGGAAGGGTTGTGCGATCACAGACAATGCAGAGGTGTGTCTCACCTCTGCCGTTTTGAGGTGAACACCAGCCACCTTCTACGGGTTACCTGGATGCATCTTTTCTGGACACTAAGCAATGACACTAAGGCATGCTGTTGCCATCCTGGACTCTTTGGCTGTGGACACCCTCCTGGCAAGTGGGGGCAGGTAGGTTTGGAGATACTGGGAAGAGTACTGGCTGCCTGGGGAGAGACCCATTGCCCCATCCCAAAGGAGCCATTGTGTGTGCTACACTTTGGTTTTCCTCAGATAGCACAAACCTTTTGTGTCTCTTGATGGGCTTTGTGCCTTAGAAGCCCTGGAAGGCTAAACCTGAAACAGATGCCATGGACTAGCCCCTCAACTGGTGTAAATCAGTTCTATGAAAGCAACTGAGTCATGCTGATTTATATCAGCAGGTCGATCACGGATCCTATCCAGCTTTTCCACCTGTAACAAAATGTTTTGCTCCTTTCTTGTTCATTTTAGTAACAGGAAACAGGTACTAGTTTTCCTAATGAAATGCTGTTTTTTTCTGATCCTCTTCATTTTTTTTTTAATGAGGATGTCTAAGGTGAGGAAATCCCAAACCAGACACCTGCATCCCACCTGCCTCCAGCCCACAGATACTCATATTGCTCAGACCCATGCTGTGAGGCTGACACTTGGCCCTGCCTTTGGTTGAAAGAAAATCCTCTATATCAGTATGCCTATAGTTGTGTGCTGGACATTACACTTACAGTCCCAATGCTTTTGTAGTTAAAAATGTCACAGCATTAATCCATCTATGCAATTTCAGGGATCCTTTTGCCATCTGTCTTAGCACAGAGGTGAACACAACAGCCAAGCAGACAACATTGCTGCCTGCTTCTTGCTGTCTAAAAACAGAGCTTCTTGCACCCATCTGTTTGCATGTTCCTGTGCACAAGGCTGTTCCCTGGAACAGTTATCCTCCCAGACAGACGGGCTTTGCACTGGGGATTCATCCCAGCCTGCAGGCGGGAAGTTTGCTGCAGTTCCCAGGGTAACGCCTTTCCCATGAGATGGGGAGCTGCAGATGGAGGCCACTGTCTTTCCCTGCAACGGGAAGCAGTTTCCACTGGGAAACCCATGAGCAAGATTTTGCTCTGCGCAAACCGCAGGCATTTGCTTTGTTTCCAACCCACCACCTTCTCCAGGACAGTCTTTCTGTCAGCTGTCCCCTGTCCTCAGCCTGGCCCATCACCAGCATTTCCCCCTTCCTGCTTTGAAAACATGCATGTTGAAATGGGGGCTGGATGTGGGACAGTGTTTGCTCCTCAGCCCCGCCGGACCCTGACGCAGGGAGCTGGCATAGCCCCAAGCCACCTGCCTGTGAGAAGATAACAAGAGGAGCTGCCTGTCACAGATTAGTTGAGTCTGACTGAATAGTCATTATATAAACCGGAGGCTTATTTGTTTATTTTTTCCGAAGGAAGTATCCAAATATTGGTGGAAACTAACTTTTTTTTTCTAAACTCAGCCATGTTATTCTTCCAGGAATTAGCACACACATCTTTACCTTCTTCTTCCTACAAATGGGATTTAGGAACTGATAATTCACACTCTGTCTGGTATACCAGACACTCTCTGTCTGGTAATTCCTTAACAGCAGCAAAATGACAGCCTCGGTTGTAGCCCCCCAGGCACTGCCACGTTGCCCTGCAGAAGACTTGGTCACCTCCTAGGATAACACTGGGCCGAGCTTCACAAAAGTGCATTTAAAAATAAGAATAATCAAGAATTTGATTTATAGTGAAAAAAAAAAAAGGCATGCATATCTTAAATGGCAGTGGTTCTGCAGTGTCTGCATAGCTCTGACCATTCCTATGCCAAGCCCTGTGTGTGAGGCACAGACTGTGAGTCTCTCGTCCCAAGCAGGACAGTCAGAATGATAACAGTGTTTCCAGCAGCTGATTGCTGATGTACAGAAAGCAGACAGATTAGGCCACGTGTGTTCGTGCATCTGAGCAAATTATTTGGTGAAAGTCACACATCTGAGTAATGAAATGAGGCTTCTGTAGGGAACTGATACATCTTCCTAGAACAGCCCTAAAGGGAAAGAGATTAGAAATCAAAGGGAGGTGGGAAGTGTTTCTTTTTTCTTAGAGTGTTAACTTGTTAAAAAAGACTTATTTCAAATGACCTGCTAATTTTTGCATTTCAAATTTTGTCGACATTTTGCACATACTCATTTTCACTGTATAATCTGTTTCTCTTGCTCTTTTTGTGTCTCTTTCTTTGAAACAGCAATTAGTAAGACTTCCTATTGCAAAGGAAATCTTGGCTAAATATAGTAATGAAGAGGAGGTTGTTTAAGAGCTCCTAGGTATTCTACAGCTCTCTGGTATTCCACAGCTCTCTGGTATTCCCTGAATGTTTATTTCAAGCGAGACTTTTTTCCTTTAAGAAAAATATCATTTTTCAAGAGGAAAGCTCACCAAAGAAACACAGCAACTGGTGCAATATCTGAGACAATTTTTCACTGTTACATCAGTAATTGCAAAGCCATCAGTATCCCTATGGGGATATACCCTTCCTGCTGTCTGCAAATTGAGAAGACTGGCTATAGGTCCTCCTTTGCTCCTAAAAGCAGGCACTATATGGCTTAAGCCAGTGAAGGGTTCAGATGTGCAGGTGACCTTCTCCCTGGTCCTTGGTCCCACCAGTCAGTGGGAAAGCTCAAGAGGATGCCAGCAGGGCATGAGCAAGGCTGCCATGGCCATGGTCCTGCCTTGGCAGCTTGGAGGAGACCACAGGGAGGGCAGGGATGCCAGGCAGGAGTGAACAGGCACCAACCCAGGAGAAAAGAGACCAAGGAATGGGCAAAGATGAGTGGCAGCAGGGCAGGAACATGCTAAGCTGTTTCTGAAATTACTTTTTTCCTAGATCTGTTTCTGATGGACACTGTGCAGGTGGTACTGATTCACAGGCTGTGGGAAGTTCATCTCAGCTTTCACCACAGCCTTAGTTGTGCATCACTCCCCAAGCTGGGGTAGTGCTCTGCACCACCAGGACAGCACTGGGCAGGACAAGTAGCAGCAAGCGTAGCACAGGGCTTTGCTTTCACCAGTTCCTATGTAACCGGAGAAAAGAAATATCTTCACTAGACAGTGTCTCAGGGCACAGCCTTGTGAACTTGATAGCAATAGCCACTGGACATCACTAGGCACAACCCCTCCTTGCCAAACCACCTGCCTGGGGCAAAACAACAGGCACATGAAATGCTGGGGGCAGGCTCACCCCACAGCGATTGCTTCCCTGTCAGCAGGGCCTTGTGCCCTGCTCTGAGGGAAGGCCCCTGCTCCTCACTCTTGGCCAAACCATCCTACAGCATCACTCACACCTCTGGATCTCTTCTGTCTTTTTGTCCCTCCCTCTAGGGAAAGTCTCTGGCGAGCAAGCGCCTCACGGGCCTGATGCAGTCCTCCTGACATCTTCTTCAGCCAACCGCCCCGTGGGAGAGACATCTGGGACCGCTGCTGGGGACGGGGCATTTCAGGGAGAGCAGTCCCCTGCAGGGGAGAGAGCCTGAGTGACTGGAAGTGGAGAGCCACATGCCAGGGGAGCACCTCTCTTCATAGTTTACACCTACACTTTCCTGCCTGCACAGCTCCGTAAGGACCCCGAGCTCTGTCCAGGTACTTTGTTTCCAACCGAGGTTTGGAGGAGCACACTTCACTATACATAGGAGGTCGACAAGGCAAGGGCTTGTTGTCTCATTATTTAAGGAAACAGACCCAACCACAACTAGGAGAAAGAAGAGCTGAGAGATATCGGTATTTTTATGCATCTCCTCTCTCCCTGGCACAAACATGACTGTAATAGATGGCTCCACAATCTCACTTGCTCCCTTTCTTGTGGCCGTCTGGATCCAATAAAATATCTGCTGGAAGCTGCTTCTCCTGCTTACAAAATCTCAAATGCATTTCTCCTGCAGATCCATTGACTTTAACTTTGTTTTTCTTTCCTATGTTTCTCCTCCTTTAAAGCAATGAAAAAAAAAAAAAGGCATTATTTAAGTTCATCACTCATTTCTATCCAATAGCATGTAGCATGTCCAGAGATGATGGCCAGATCCTCAGCTGAAGTCAGGAGAGCAGGAGTGGTTTTCATCACCTAAGGATCTGGTCCATTAAGTCAGACTTTGATACTGGTACAAATCCTCTGATGTCAGCGGAATCACTCTGCATGTGTGCATAGTGCAAATGTGATCAGACTCTGCCTGATGCTCAAAAGTCATGTTTTAGATGTGCAATGCACACACAAGTACACACACACATACACACACGCACAGTATTTTAAAGTGAGTTGGTTTATATTTTATTTAATTTTCTATTTATTTAAGGTTATGCATACTTAATCAATGTTAGATGTTCAAGCTTTACTCCAAGCAGATCAAACTGGACTCCAGCTCCAATCACAGAGGGCCAAAATCTGCTCACAAGTATACATGGAAAGGCAACTCTGATGTGGGCAGATGTCAAAATTCAGTCTACAATGAGGAGGGAATTGATGGAGATTGGACCAGCAGAAGGAGGGTGTTAATGGGCAGGGCACTGGGTGCCAGGTGACCGTTCCTAAACAGCAGCACACCCAGCTGTGATATCATGCTCAGATAACTTACCCTGCTGAGAAGCATCATTCTGAGTATGAAAAGAGCTTCCACTAAAACTCATCTGACCTACAACCCATCAGTGCAACAGCAAACCCAGTAGCTTTTTTCAAATTGTTGAGAGTACAGAGATTAGGATGAGGACAGAACCGAAATGACTTTAATAAAAAACCCACTTATACTAGCTACAGATAGGAAAATGGCCTGCATTCACATACTGTTTATTGTCTATATATGAAAATTTCAAGACTTAGTGCCACAAAATCTCCTGTATTTTGCAAGCAGTTCAGATGTAAAGCATATGTGAAACAAGACGTTTCTTGGTCTTCTTCTCTCATGCCAAGGCAAATTGGCTTTTTGTACAGGTGGTAGAAATTGCTACATGGCTACAAGTCTGCATTCCTACCTAGGCAAACCCATCTAGCTAAGTAGACAGCTGGCTATTGACAACATTCTTCTGAGGCAAGTATTATTCTCATATCTAAGGCCTATGTATGCACAAAAACATGCCAGCATAGTTTCTCTCAGAAGAAGGACCTTCCCTCTTTATCTATGAAAGTTCTCATTCTGATACCTCTTTTTTTTTCCCCAGAAAACTTCTATTATCAATTATACCTAAGATCCATACACCTGCATGAATGTACAGTAGAATATTGAGTATAATGTTTGTTCTTTACACATGCCTATACCTTAAAAGCCTGCTATCTGAGGCCTTCAGTCCAAATTCATCTTACACATCCTACATACATGACATGTGAGTTCCAGGACTTCAGAACCGCTGTGGATGTGCCTGGACATTCTTGTGGTGCTCTGCCTCTGAAGGAGATATTTAGTTCCCTCCAAATTGTCACTTAGCTCTCTTTGCGGGACCCATCTGTCCTCTGTTGTTCACCCAGCCAAAGGGTCCCCTCAGGAAATAGCAGGTCCTCATGTAAAAGGCTCACTTGTCCATTCATGCATATTCATACATGTCCCCTTAGTCATCCTTAGGAAAATGCAGAGGTTAGCTCTCCTCAGAGCCTTTCAGATGGTGTTTTCATCTCTGTCAAGCCCATCATTACCATGCATCACTGGGGCTCTGTAAACCAACAGCTGCTCGAACTCCACTTCCAGTGTTGCCCAACCTCTGGGCATTTCCCATGGGAGGTCTGTCTTGTGAACCTTCAAAGTGGTCTGCAGAGCATTCCTGAGCAAGATGTACATAGCAAGCATGAAACTCTGGTGTGTAGCAAAGGATAGTAAAGTGTTACCAGGGGATCTCTGCTATGCTGATAGAGTTCTTGACACTGGAGAGGTCATCTCCTGGGGGAAGGATGGGGTAGCTCTGCGGAGGTACTCCTCAGTTTCCTGCAGCTTTGGGGCACATGTGGGCAGGACTGGAGGATGCAGGCAGGTGATGGGACAGGTGGAAATTGAGTTATGGTCCATGCGCAGGGAGCAGAAGTGCCAGAATTTAACTTGGAGATGTGCTGCTGCCCTGTGAGCAAAGTGCCCTGCTCTGTCTCTTGGGTTCAGTCCTGCAGGATGGTCATGTTGGCTGCCATAGTATTTTGCCTATGGGGAATATTCTGTATTTGAACAGTTGAGTGCAAGGAGGGAATTCTTAGAGATGCGGAGAGCATGCATATGGGTGTGCATCAGGGGGCCTGGATGCTGAACAGCTTGCCATCTAAATGCACACTCGTGCAAGCTAATCTGCTCAGTAATGGCTAGCTGAGCGGACAGAGCTGCATATTCCCTAGAGGGAAGAAAGCTCTGCTCCTCATTTCCTGACTAAATTTCTCCAAAACAAACATGCAAGTAGACAAGACCTTCTCCTGGGAACACATATGAACTGTTCTTTTATGTCACATATGGTGATACTAACATGTAACTACTTCCACATGAACTGCATCCTTGAATTACTGCTTTTTAATGACATTGCTTATTCCAAGTGATCCTAGTCTTGTACATCCAACAGTATCCCACTGAGCATTGCAAGCAGTAATCTGCTGCTTAGTAAGTGTCCCATGTCTTCCAGCTACCTCATCGGGTTGAAGATGAGTTAGGAAATCAGCTTTCCACCTCTGTTTATGTTCTAAATGGCACTGTTTCAAGGAAAGACAGTCTGGAAAGCTTTTACAATGTCCATGCAGTGCAAGAGAGTTACAAAGCTTCCCATACTTACAGGACTATGGCTGTGAAATATGGCTGTACACTGTTATTTGGATAATAGAGTATCCAGAGTATTTGTGGCTATTGTGGCAAAACCCAGGAAAAGCACTAGGGAGGTTTGACAAGCCTGGGCAGACAGCGTTAGGCTAAAGCAAATGGATTAATGTACTCTCAGTATAACTCAGCACTAAGATCCCATAGAGTACTATAATAAAATGGTAGCAGGGCAGCCATAAAAAGTGACAGTAAGCTGACATAATAATACCAGAATAAATGTAGCAATAAGGTAACACAGGCCGCTGCAGTAAAGTAGCATTTTGATAATGCAGCAATAAGACACAACAGCATGCTGCAGTAAATTAGTTTGGGGAATAAGGCAGTAATAACAGTGTGTGTGGACAAACAGTGGTACATTTTACCAGGTACTGCAGCAATAAAGATAACACATGATGTCCTAGTAATAAGTTACTACAGTAACAACAACATGATGGACTGTAAAGTTATATCAGGATGCTTCCATGCTGCAGTCAAATCCTGCAAGAGGTGGTAGAGAGACAATGAAGACAAAATATACCCCATTTTGGACTGCAAAACTTGAATCAGTTTTCTGCACAATTATCTCAGCAATACCAATCCTCTCATTCCCCACTTTCAAGGAAGCTGAGGCAAGAGTGTTCCCCCATCCAGACTATTATTTTGATCTAAAAATACAAAATTGACTTATTGTCTCTTCAGCCAAATTGTCACAGACTATGGTGAAGTTCTTTGTTTAGTCCTACTCACGTGAAACCCTGGTGGTTTTGGTAAGTCCTTTGCCGTGGAAAGGATTTGGCTCTCTAATCTTTCTGGCATGGGTGATGCTTTTAGCCTGAAATTATTTCTGTTTTGGGTGGGGGAAGGGGAACCCAGGGACAGAACATCTGACTGTACTAGTCTGTTTCCTGAAATGCACAAATAAATTGAGCATCCTGGAAAAGTCTAAGCAACAAGGACCAAATCTGTTCTGTCTGTCCTGCACTCAAGCACACAAGAATAATCCTCCTGGAATCAGTGCAAGCTCCTGATACATCCATGGGTCTAACCCTCTTCTCGGTGCCTCCACCAGAATGACAGAAGCAGTGTGTCTTCTGAAGTTTTATTTTTATAATATTCTCTCCTTTCCTGCTTTTCCATTTTTTTTTAATTTAACGTCACTTTGTGTATGAAATGGCCTTAGAAAAAATTAGTTTGCTCTAACACAATATGCAGCACGGTGGGCAAGGAATAGGTCTGTCCATTTTCTGTCTTTGTACCCTTCAGTACAAAGGGGGTAAACCATTCTGTAAAATAACAACTCAATAATCATCAGGCATAAGGGTTTAGCCAAAGCACCTACATCAACAGCAAGACTTGAATTTCATATGTGTTCTAGATAACAAGATGATCTCCTGCAAAAAGGATGTAAATAGAGCACCACTGCAGACTCTTGACTAGCAGGAGCAGCTCACAGCTGACTGTGGCTCCTGCAGACAATCCCAACAGATACGAATTTTCTCCCACATCTCTCTGACCCTTTGCACAACAACTTTGCTATCCCTTTATGGGGCTTCCTCTCTCTAGCTGACTGCTCAGTTCAAGTTTGGAGCAGTGCTCTGATACACCTTCGCTTGGCTCTTGCCTTAAACTCCTTGGCTTGCTTTTATTGTGGTTTAATGATTAAGCAGGATTATTTCAGTAGAGCTCACAGTAGGGTAAGATAGGCTAGGTTATCATGATTTTGACTTTTAAGCTGTGAGCAATTTTGCAGCTTCTCGGCACTGTTTATAACCTGAGCCAGAGAACAAGCGAGGTGGCTGCTCAGCAGAACAGTGAGCTGCTGAACAATACACTATCTTCATGCCCACACATACTTTAAAGTTACTGGTGAGGAGAAACGCTTTGTAGTGAGAAAAGTAATCTCACGGCAGGGGAGAGTCAGACCTGATCAACTTTTTCACATGATACAGATTTTGCTTTGCCAGCCCCTAGCATCTGCAAAGCTCATAGCTAAGAGCCAGCAACCTTCTAATCCTGCTGCTAAGCTTTGGAAACAAGCTTTTCAAATGCTGCCTTTACACAGCAATGCTATTACTTGAAGCCTTTTAATATGAATTTATGGCTAGTGCCACAAGTGTCAGTGTAGTTGCCCTCTATGTTTGCAATAATAAACTCTGGATTCACCCCACACAGAGGATGGATGTTAGTGGGAAGAATTTAGGGATTTACCAATGCATTCCTGTCTGGAGACCCAGAAGAGACACTGAAACATCTCGTGTGGCAGAGGACAGCTCTGCTGGGGGCAATGGCATTGTTCCTTGGATATTGCTGTCAGCAGAGATAATAAACTGAGCTTCTCTTCCTCATCTTTGGGGACTTAAACAATGCCATCCTTACATAAATAGTAGGTGACAGCTAGCCCTGACCAGCACCTTCTATGGGTAGACTAGAAGTCCTCATGTGGACCAAGATTTCAGTAGTTGTTTCCTTTTGGATCCTCAACAGTATTTCTCACATCCATCCACGTGCAGGTTATTCCTGCATGATACATAGCTTCACAGCCCAGAACCATGGGTGTCTGGTTCTTGCCATGGTTCAGCTGAGCCTCATGCCACTTGGATTAAGGCACACCAGATAAAAATTTCAAGTTATGCTTTATACAACACATAATTTCCCATAAAAGCATCTGGGATTCTAAAATCTGCTCTTTGGGAGTTATTTGGGGCCCAACCAGGAACTGTGGGGTTTTCCTCTGCAAGGGAAAACTTCTGAAGGCCTCCTGCCTCGGTGGTGTGATTGAAAGCAGCCAGCACACGGCAGCGAGCCCTGTCCTTGGGGACTTGCCCATGGTGAGCAGACACTCGCTGCTCCTCCACAAGACCATGTCCCGTTGCCGGCAGAGGTCAAGACCCGGGGAGAGTGGAGGGGAGCCCCGCGGGGGGACGGGAGCAGCGATGGCTGTAGCGCCAGGAGCCGGGCGGTGGGTGGAGGAGAGCTCCAGCGGGTAGATGGGGTCTGTGAACCCCTGCAGCATGAAGGGGCACGGAGCACCACCTGCAGTGCCGCCCCGCAGCGCGCTGGTGGGGCAGCCGGGGCGGGCCGTGGAACGCGCGCACCCCGCGGAACCCGCTGCGACCGCCCTCCCGGCGCGGTGCGAACGTGGCAGTGCCGCCGGGTGGTTCTGGCCTCACACAGGCACGGAGCCGCTCAGGATTCCGACTTGGGACGCTGGCGGGCAGGGCCGGGAGCCAGCTGGCCGGGCTGGGCCGCAGCTGCGCCCGCCGCGGGGAGGGACCGCGCCGGGGCCGGGGCCGGCGCTGCGGGGCCGCGGGAGCGGGGCCCGGATGCCCCCGCCTGCGCCCGCCCCGCCCGCGGGGTTAACTCTTCCCGAGGAACCTTCCAGCCGCAGCAAACACCGACAACACAGGCTGCGCACCGAGCTTGGTGCTTTGTCACATGGTGGGAGGTGCAGAATGCACCTGGTTCCCCGCAGCCCACGTCCACGCTGCTGGCTGCCACGCACTCCTCGGTGACGCTCATCCCTTCCTCTGGCACCAGCACCCTAGGAACGGCTCTGCTCCTCCCAAACAAACCGGAAAGCCGCCCATCAGCGAGGTGTGTGTGCAGCTTCAGAGACAAAGACCTGTGGGTCTCAGGTTTGGAAGGTCCCAGAGCCGAGCGTTATTTGCAACCCAAGCTCTCCTCGGCATCCAGGTCAGCCCATGCACGCCTGCAGAGCCAGCGACCCTGCTCGAGGACTGTGCCGATTCCCAGACCTACCTGTGACCCCCGTGCTGTGCCCAGCTGCGGGAGCTCGAGGTCGCTGGGCTTATATCCTTCAGAGCATCTGTTTTCTGTGTGCCATTTGTCTCTGCAGGACTTGTAATGTTCGCTGGTTTTGCAGGAAGAGACCAGTACGGGCCAGGGAAATCAATACCTTCCTCAACTAGACCCCCTGCTTAGTGCAGGTGGGAGTCCGTCTTGGGAATCAGACCGAGTGAGTTGCAATGTGCAGTCCCTTGTCCTGCAGGACAGGCTTATTTGCTATGCTTATTTACCTTCAAGCCATCCTGCAGCTCTGCTCATCTGAGCATCAGTGCTCCTGCATGCATCATGCTCCCAGGACACCACTTTGCCATTACACTGGATCTTCCCCACATCCCCTCGCTTCAGCATCTGTGGTTCTCAGCTGCCTTTCCATAACTCTTATTTTCCCTGAGCCCCTCTTGGAGAGGCTGGTCTGTGCAACCTATAAAGGGATTGTCAAACTAACATTTCCCTATGTAAGCTGGCTGTCTCTTCACTAAAAGAAATACTTGAGGGCTGCCACAAGTACAAAGCTACTGAGCTCTATATCTGCTCTGAAATTACAAAAGCAGGGGGTAGGAGACGCGTATGTGGTTTGGGCTCACCTCTCTTTGAATCTCAACCCCACAAGTGCAATTTGGCCGTGAGCAGAACTGGCACATCCTGAGCTCAGGCAGTGGCAGCACCTTGGCAAAAGCAAGTTTGTAGCATTTACCTGAACACAGTGTTCAGGACTGTTTGGCCGTGCTGTCACCTCCAGGCAATTGGAATCTCTGACATGATTTTCTTCATGTGTGTCTGTCAGTGCAGCTGCATATTTGTTTATACAGACGGTAGCAGGAAAAGCCTCAAATCCTTCCCTCAGTTGATGGCTGATACCATATGTTAGATCCTCCATTCTGGGGCACAGACAGATTTGGGGCGTGGTCTGGCCAATTTAAGCTAATTACAGCTTTCTATAATCTAAAGAAAGTTTATCTTGCAAGGACCCTCGGCCAGCCCTGTTCGTACACACACACGTCCAACACACAGGAAAAAGAACATCCTTCTGTGCTTAGGGTGATGGATCATCTGCTATGGGCCACCTGCAAACTGCAAGCCCTGTCTTGTAACCAAATTCCTGAGCTTCTGCATGTCATGGATTTTGGGTAGGTAGGTACCTTACCCAAAAATGTCTGTCCTCCTCTGACAACTTGCCTCTGGACATGGAGACACTCTGCCATAGTGCTGAATTCCTCTGATGCACCCTGCCTTCCCCTCTGCAAAACAGCCTTCACAGCCAGAGCTGGGCACAGCTTAGTTACCTTCTGCCATCCTTTAATTAGACATTTGTCAGAGCTTTATGAAAAGCAGCACAGCAAACTGCAGGCTTCTAAATGTGGAAGGAATGGCAAGAGCAGTGCTAGAGCTACCTGCATCAAATAGGAAATTAAATTGGTTGTGTGAGTTTTTCTCACCTGGTGTGTTATTCACTTAATGAATATGGTGGCAATTCTACACCACTCTAACAGTGGTTTCGGTGTGACCTTTCTTCTCATCTGACAGGGCTTTGAGCCCTTGGCTCCCTGTCTGACTGTCAGGGCATCGCTGCAACCCACTCTTGTGGGACTTGGCCTTCCCTCCCTGGCTTTCTCTTTTGACCAAGCAAGCAGTTCCCAGAAAACAGTCAAGTGACTGTATTAAGGTGATCCTGCCCTCAGTGTGTCTTTGTTTCTGGGGAGTCTTAAGCAAATCAAGTTGCAGAGTATACACAGAACACCACAGTCTCTATGTCAGATGAAAGGACAGTCCAAATGGAGAGAGAGGGCAAGAGAGAGAAAGCTCTGTGTTTGCATTCATCTCTGACATGATGGATTCTCCCTTCCTGGAAGCAGCCGTGGCATAAATAAAGCCAGTAAAGGCTTTTATGCAAGAACTCCCTTCACTACCAATAGTCATGGAGTCATAGATAATAAAAGACCTGGCAGCTCATCTTGCATTGCTCCCTGTAATCAGCAGGATTTTCCCTCCTGAATATTCACTGAGGTTACTTTATCTAGCACGCCTCTGAAGCCTCCATGGATGAGACCTTAGCAGATGCCCTCAGGAACACATTCTTCCATACTTGAAATATTCTTACTGCAAGGAAAAAAATGTGTCTGATATACAACATAAAAAGTC